TCTAATATTTTATGTATCTGTGTTATTATAGATATTACCTATCTGTATTATTATATATATTATTATATATCTATAGTGATATATCTATTATGTCCATAATTTCTTGCCTTGGCCTATTCCTATTTGGCCTTAGGATTGAATGGGGTGGACACTGCACACATTTGGTTTTGCTCACAAATTATACAGCTTCCAGTATTTCTAATATTTGAGATAATATTTGGAGTAATAATAAATATATATTACTCTGTTTTTAATATTAGGTCACTATTTTTTAATATTATTAAAAAATAATACAATATTTAATATCTGTCCTGTTTACCAGACAATTTCTGAGTTTAGTATTAAAAAAAAATGTCTTGAAGATTTAATCATCTTTTCTTCTTACAAATTCAGATAACTGCTGTCAGGTTCTTTGTGTGTTATTTTGCTTGAGTGTTAAAAATATTGATAGCTTTATTTAAATTGCATTCCATATTTAGAAATAGAAAGCTTCTTTTTGTACAGTACCCTTTTTTTTTTTGCTTTAGGTAGGTTAGCCCTGAGCTAACATCTGTGCCAGTCGTCCTCTATTTTGTATGTGAGATGCCACCACAGCATGGCTGACAAGTAGTATAGGTCCATACTCAGGATCTGAACCTGAAAACCTGGACCGAGGAAGCGGAGCGTGCTGAACTCAACCACTATGCCACGGGGCTCGCCCTAGTACGTGTTTTTAAAGAGAGAAAGGATGAACAAGACATATATTTTATATTGAACATCTTAGCACCTACGACAAGTGTGTGTGTGCACACACCTTGATGTTTGGTGTTTATTTATTAAATGCTAAATAAATGGAGATGTTATGGACTGAATGTTCTTTGCTTTCAAATTGAGATTTTTTTTTTTAATTTCTCTATAAATGCAGTACATTCCTTGTCATTTTAGGTTAGGTTTTTGGTTGTTGTTTCTTTGTTCGAAAGCTTTTCCTACAAGTTCTGTATAATGACCAAAGAGTCGCACTGCCCCTGTTAAACCAGTGGTGAGATTATGGATGCAGTTCTCTGCAGGACGGAACACTGTGTTTTCTGTGCCTCAAAGGGAGAAAATTTGCTTGAGGGGCTTTTCTTTGTCACTTTACGTCAGGCCAATCTGACTGCAGAGCAGAAAAGTTGAACTTAGTATACCTTTCCAAGTTGAGAAAAAAAGTATCTAAAACACGGTATATAGAATAAAATATGATTTTTATCTCTAATATATTATTCCATTTATATGTAGGCTTGAAATTATTCTCAGAGCAAACTAATTTCTCTGCTCATTCTAAAATCTTTTATAGAATAATCACTTGCATAAGATTGATTTTTTTAATAATCAAGAAATTATAATGTTTGGGGGAATTATATCTTGAAAGAAAAGCTCTATGTATAAAATCTTATGATAGTGTTAGACATTTCAAAATTGGGGTCTTTTTGTTTGTTTTAACTGACAACTGTCAGTGTGGCTTTAGGATTAAATTCTCATTTTCTGGAAAAAAGCAAAGAATTGCATGGTTTTAGATATATTTACATAAAATATAAAATTTATTTAAAATAAATATAGTACTTTTTCATTGGCAAGGAAAAAAAACTTAGTTGTAGAGAATAACTCATTTAAAAAATCATGGCTGAATTTCACAGTTCTATTTGTGTATAATCTTTTGGAAATGTTGATTTGATTTACACATGGTTTAGAGTGGAGCGGAAAAAGTAGGCTTAGTCTCTGCACATAATTATCTCGAAATGAAGGTGGCATAGATCTAAATAAAATTTAGTTAAAAAGTAGTATTATGAGATGTTTAGGTGGTTTATATCAAAAGACGAGCTGAAACTTTTACTAATTGAGTTAAGGAATGGGACAGGCTGATGAGGGGAGAGCAAAAGACGTTGTTGCTGTGGAAAGGAGGGAGCAGCTGGACCAGTGCAGAGCTCCTGGTGGCCCCAGGCGCCACCCTGGACCCCTCACAGGGGGAGAAGGTGGTGTTGTCATTAAATGCTTCTCTCGGCAGCTGCAGGGGAGCATCCGCTCCACTCCTGGTGAGCCGTGTGTAGAAGGAAACCCAGGACCTGGGTTCGGGGCGGATTTCTCCTCTTCCGTAGTGTTGATCTGCCTACCTATTTGATTTTCAGTTTTTTCACCTGTCAAAGAGGAGCTTGCAATAGCTCTCTGAAGGTCTCTTTCTGCTGTGTCTGATTCTGTGACCTATTTTTTCTTTGTGTGAAACACTTGACGATTTTTCATGGTAAAAATCATTTCAATGTTTTTATTTCTTTTAGGAGCTTTCTAGAGGTATGATTTACATAGCATATAATTCACCTATTTTAAATGTTTAGTTCGATGAGTTTTAGTAAATTTACATAGCTGTACAAGCATCACTAAAATCCAGGTTTAGAGATTTCCATCACAGGAAAAGTTCCCTTGTGCCGGTTTGGAGTCAATTCCCACTTCACCCTCAGTCCCAGGCAGCCACAGATCTGCTCTCTATCTCTATTTTTTTGCCTTTTCTGGAAATACCATAAATGGCATCTTCTATTTAGTATAACGTTTTTGAGGTTCATCCATGTTGTTGCATGTATCAGTAGCTTATTCCTGTTTATTAGTGAGTAGTATTCCTTTGTATGGATTTATACCACATTTTGTTTGTCTGTGAACTAGTAGATGGACAATTAGATTGTCTTTATTTTGGGCAAATATGAGAAATGCTGCTGTGACCATTTGCATGGTCTTTTTGTGGACATATGGTTTCTTTCCTCTGGGATAGATAACTTGGATAGAGAGGAGTGGAATTGCAGGGTTGTTTGATACATATATGTTTATATTTAACATTTTAAGAAGCTGCCAACTTGTTTCTCTAAAATGGATGTGCCATTTTGCAGTTCTGCCATCTGTGTATGAAGGTTGCAGTTTATCCACATCCTCACCAATACTTGGTATTGTCAGTCTCTTGATTGATTATAACCATTCTAGTGGGTATATAGTGGTGTCTCACTGTAGTTTTAATATTCATTTCCCTAATGATTAATGCTGTTGATCATCTTTTAAGGTGCTTATGTCCCATTAGTATGTCTTTGTTAAAAGTGTCTGTTTAAATCTTTTTGCCCCTTTAAAAAAATTGGATTGATTGAGTTGCAACAGTTCTTTACATGTTTCATATATGAGTTCTTTATCAGATTAATGTTTTCAAATATTTTCTCCCAATCTGTGGTTTGTCTTTTCATTTTCTTATTGATGTCTTTTGAAGAGCAAACATTTTTAATTTTGACAAAATCCAAATTGTCCTTTTTTTTCTTTCATGGATTGTACTTTTGGTGTCGAATCTAAGAAATCTTGGCCTAACGCAAAGTCACAAAGATTTCTCCTATGTTTCCTTGTAAGAGTTTTGCAAGTTGAGCTCTTACATTTAGGTCCATCATCCATTCTGACTTAATTTTTGTATATGTTGTGAAGTGAAGTTCTAAGTTCGTTTTGTTTTTGCATGTTGGTATCCAGCTGGGTCAGTACATTTATTCAGAAATCGGTTGACCATGTATGTCAGTTTGTTTCTAGACTGTATTCTGCTTCATTGAGAGGTTTGTCCTTATAGTGATATCACCCTATCTTGACAACTGTAGTTTATAATAAGTTTAAAATCAGGTAATGTAAGTCTTTCAACTGTCTTCTTTACTAAAATTGCTCTATTTTATGTCCTTTGCATTTCCATATACATTTTAGGCTCAGCTTGTTAATTTCTAAAAAAGAGAAAACCACTAGAATTTTGATAGGGCTTACATTGAATCAGTAGATCCATTTGGAGAGAACTGGCATCTTAACAATATTGTCTTCCAGTCCATGAACTTGGTATGTCTCCCAATTTATTTAGTTCTTTAATTTTTCTCAGTGGTGTTTTGTATTTTTTAGTGTACTGGTTTTGAATTTCTTTTTTAAAATTTATCCCTACATGTTTTAATCTTTTTGATGCAATTATAAAATGTATTGCAGTTATAAAAACTTGCGTTACGAATGACGTTTTTAAAATTTCATTTTGGATTGTTTGTCACTAGTATGTGGAAATACAGTTGATTTTTGTATCTTAATCCTGTGACTTTGTAAGCTCCCTCACCCATTCTGGTGGGTTTTGTTGATTCCTTGGGGTTTTCTGCTCACAAGATGGTGGATGGTCCTTGACAAGGGTGTCCTCATTCAAGTGATGTTGCCGCAGCTTAAAGCATTCTTGGAGCTTCTCAGTCAGACTTTGTTAGACAAGCTACCAGGCTCATAAGAAAACCCATCTTTATTAGTTATTGGTGGATATCGTGTCTGATTCCTCTTTCTTCTTCCCTTTTATCTTACTAAACTTAGATGTGTGCTGAGGATACGTTATTTTTTACTTGTCTATTAGACATTAAAGGGTAGCAGCTGGGTAGGCAGTTGGATGTATGCATCTGAAGTTCAGGGAAGGGGCTGCGGGTAGAGGTGTGAATGGGAGTCGTCAGATCATAGTAAGGCTGTAGGCTGGACACGATCACCTAAAGGGATTGACCAGATGTCCAGCAATCCTTGGAAGAAGAATTGAGAAGGTCTGAAAAAGGTTTGAGGGGTGCCTTGTGCCCAGAATCTGGGGACACCCTGTGGGGAGCATGTCAGGAGTACTACTGAATGACTTTCAATTCGTTTATGAGCCACCTGCCTGCATGAAAACTTTGGGTTAATTTTTAAAAATTCTTCGTTACTGTTTTAACGAGTGTACACGTCTTTCACAGGAAAATGAATCTTCACAAGGTCAGTGATGCCCCTCCTGGTTTTTCTTTTGAATCATTTGAACAGTTACTACTTGGCATTTATTTTTTTTTTTCCCTAGGGTAATGTGATTTTTAATTGTTAAACATCCTAGTCCTCATTTTATGTTAATTTAATACCCAGTTTGGTATATTTTTCTTATTCTGTTACCTACATTGTATTATTGACTTTGTGAGAGTCACACTAATCGTCTGCTTTTCTTTCGTTCCTAGGCAAATACTGTGGTCTGGGGTTGCAAATGAACCACTCAATTGAATCAAAAAGCAATGAAATTACAGTGCTGTTCATGAGCGGAATCCATGTTTCTGGACGAGGATTTTTGGCCTCCTACTCAGTTATAGATAAACAAGGTAATTTTCACTTTATACCATGGCTCCCCCATTTTACAGTTTCTAAAAACAGAAATGAAGTTTCTTTGAGTACCTGTTACCTGAGATTAGAATAGAGTAGAAAGACTGAATAGTTAATAACATACATAAATTTGACAAATAAAATTAGATCAGTTTCGGAATTCCAAAAATTAAAGTATATTAACTTTTATGTCAAGTCCATATACTTCCCTTTCCCTAGTAGAGGAAATACTGATTTTTTACTTTTACAAGTTTGGAATGCAAATAATAATAACTTAAAAACCTATCAATTATTGGGCTGGCCCTGTGGTATAGCGGTCGAGTGAGCACGCTCTGCTCCTGGCGGCCCAGGTTCGGATCCCAGGCGCACTCCGGGACACCGCTTGTCGGGCCATGCTGTCGCAGCGTCCCATGTAAAGTGGAGGAAGATGGGCACGGATGTTGGCTCAGGGCCAGTCTTCCTCAGCAAAAAAGAGGATTGGCATGGATGTTAGCTCAGGGCTGATCTTCCTCGCAAAAAAAAAAAAAAAAAATCTATCAATTATTGAAAAGTATGTCAATTTAAAGCTTTACTGTCCGCAGTCTGCCATTTCATAGCACTGTGTTCAAGACCGTATTACCTTTCTTCTCAAAGAAGAGGGTCCATACTACCAGTTCCACCCTAGGGAGTGCTGAGACACTACAAAGTAAATATGAGATATTTTCTAGATTGTTAACGTTTAGAATCTGAAGGGGGGATAATTAAAAGCAAGGCTATGAGTGGCATAGAATGCAGAATTTTACTTGGATCTCTAAAATAAAATGCAAGACTTGAATGAGGTCTCTCATGAGTTCTGGCTGCGTGGCACGTGTCCATTCCCCTCTGCCGTGAAGGTCCTGTGGTGAGAACATCTGGGAAGTGTTACTAGTACAAAGATAAATCAAAACAATCATTTAAATTAGAAAACAGATGATTATTTCAATATTTAGCAATGAGTTAACCAAGTTGACCATTTAAAATTAAAAATTAGCCCCTACTTTATATTGTATAAATGAGAAAATTAAGAACCTCCGTGGTGTGAGATGTTGGGCACAGGGAATGCCTGAGGGCAGTGCAAGCTGTTCCTTCCCAGCAGCGGTGAGTTTGAGGCAGACACTCGGTCTCGTTGAGAGTTTCATTTAGAATGTTACAGAGGAGAACTGTTCTGTGTGAAGAAAGATCCACTTTCCCTTAATTTCTAAGCTATGGAACGAGGTGTTCGCAAGGCTAATAAAATCCCTCAGAGAGCGTGAGAAAGAAAACTCACTTGGATGGAATAATGGGAAGAAAAGACCTGGAAACATTATGCTACATGAACAATTACTATTTTTGACAGAACCAGGTAAACTGAGGCAGTGTGATGTCGTAGAAGGGGCACTCAGTGGCCCTGGACTCAAAGCCTGCCTCTGCCACGTGGTAGCCGGCTGACCTCCTGCCAGTCATGTCACTGCGGAGCTTTGTCGTAAGTGGGTTAGTTGTGAGGACTGAATCCAATGATACACGGGTGGTGTCTGTAGGCACAGAAGAGGTGCCGTTCCCCCTCTCACCACTGCACATGCACACATCCTCATTCCCCACCGCTACCACCAAAAATGTAAGGTAGAAAACAGGTAGATTTCCATCCTGTCCATTTACTTCCTGAAAGTCTTGGGTTGATAGGTGAGAGGATAGAAAATAAACAATTAATTTACTTCTTATTCTCCTTAAATTTCTTGGTTTCAGTATCAGGTTAAATTAGTAAATTATTTATTTTGCTTTTTCATATTTTCCCCTTTCTCTCTTTGTTATATATTGAGTTGAAAGTTTCTGGAAAATAAATATCCCCTCTTTAACAACAACAAAAAAAGTTCTTACATTGGATATTTAAATTATGGAGCTCTTTGATCCATAGAAACCTGAATGTCTTGCCTAAAAGTTTCTTAAGAGTTGACAGTGATCTTAGATAACAGAATCAGTATGTTCTTGACTTATATGTGTCTGTGCTAAATTTCAAATTGCTGTGCCACTATCTTAGATGAATCTTGGCTTCCAAAGGTTTTTGAAATATCTACCATAATCAGAACTTCTTTTTAGTAACACTTTCCAAAGTCGTAATCGTCTTGTGAAATCCTCATTTCACAGTCTCTTCTGAGATCTTACTTGTGTTTTTGCTTGTTCTGGTCCCATCCAGCAAGCATTTGTTTTATTCGAAGTTAAGTGAATTGGCTAAATTCAAGAGAACACTGGTTGAATTTCATGTTGCTTCTTCCTGGGTGGCCTTTCTGACACAGTTTCTTGTAATGACTCATTTATTTGAAGGTTGCTTGGGCCTGGTTGAGAGCCTCAGTTTGCTTCCATCCAGAAAACTTAGCTGCCACACTGAATTCCCTGAATATTTTCAAGGAACATCACTACATGCCCCCAGCTTGGCAACCTAGTGGAAGGGTCAGAGTGTTTGGGAATGAAAAGATTGTGAGTAATCTTGCTTCCAGCAGCTTCTTCATTTGTCAAACTCTCACAAAGATTTGTAAATGTTATAGTGTGTGCTTGGTAGAGACGTGATTTTGTGTGAGATAGACTAATTTTCATTACTTTGTGCAAGAGCCCATTGCAAAATTATATTCCCTTCGATGCCTTATTTCCTGCAGTCTGCGTGGCACTGAGCAAACAGCAGTAAACAGTCACCCTGGATGCGACTTACAATACAGGGTTGGAAAAAGGCGTTAACCGCGTGGTTACTTATTGCAGTTATGGTAAGTGTGATGAAGGAAACGTTCAAGAAATAGGAGGCCAGAGGGGTGCGGGGAGCCGAAGATTGACAAAGAGCAGAGCTCCCTGAGGAGGTCACTTTTAGGCTGAGAGCCGAAGGAAGAATGGGAGGCTCCAAACAGGGAAGAAGAATGTTCTAGGGAAGAGAAGAGCAGGTGCAAAGGCCTTCAGTGGGAAGGAGCTTTGTAGGAACCAGAAAGGAAGCCAGGGCAGCTAGGCAGAGCAAATGCATGGGGAACGTTGCTCAGGGCCGTGTGGGAGACGGAAGGGTTGGAGCTTTCTCCTCAGAGTGGATGGAAGCTGTAGAGCAGAGGAGTGATCTGACTGGATTCCTGTTGTTTGCTTGTTTTTACGATCTCCCGTGCTCTGTGAACAGTGAGTCGAAGAGACGGAAGAATAATTGTAGGGAGGCTGTTAGAGGAGATGGGATCAGAGATGGTTGAATTAAGAGGTCTTGTTATAAATGTAACTCTAGATTTAGGCCAGATTCTGATTTAATTCTTTTTGACGACTTTGGAATCAGACATATCTTCTACAAGGAAACATTTCAACAAGTTGGGGTTCACGCTGCCTGAGGTTCAGGTGTAGTGAGCGGCCTCTTGGTTGAGGCTGGGAGCTGCCCTCAGAGGGTTATGTCTGGGGTGCTGACCCTGGTCCTCTTCACTTCTGTGTCTAGTTTTTATAACTGTCATGGTTTTACTCCTCTCTGTTATTTTTAATGATCTTTGAGCAGTAGTTTCCATTGTTTTCCATTACTAGTTATCTCTCTTAATTTTCATCTGTAAACCTCATTTTTGAAAGATTATATTTACCATGGAAAGGAAGTTTTCCTGTGTCTCCCTTGGATAGCAGGGAAAGGCAGAGATCAGTACTAGTTGACACTTCCAATGATTATCAGAAGACTGGTGTTTCTACTCGGAGTTGGTATAATTCCATCAAGTTCCAGCTAGACTTGCTGAAGTTGAAATTGGCATCTGAAAATTTAAGAGTCTGTGGACCCTGGAGACATCCTGGTCATTGTATTGGCAACCTCTGTGCAGGAGTTCTGGGGAGAAGCTCCAGTCACTCTGGTCTTACTGGGAGAGGCGGCACCAGCCACTCAGAGGTCCAGACTCAGTGACTCAGATCCTTTAATCCAGTATAATAGTAAACGATACTGACATTTTCATTCTCAAGTGTGAACTTAATGGCGTTTATCACTGGACTTGAAAAAAAAAAATTTTATAGGTGAGTGATCTAAATTCCTGGTTTTGAATCTGTTCAATGTTAGCCAGTTTCTAGGAAAAGCTCAACATTTCCAGGATGACTCTGGGCAGTGATTTTTTAAGTTATTTTAGTTACGGAACAATGAGCTCAGAAGACATAGCTGTGTCTGCGTTGAAAGCTTCAAGTCCGTGAAGGCAGCCTGTGTTTGTTCTGTGCCGTGAAGTGGGTGTTCTGTGTGTGTGCACGTGCGTGTGTGCATGTGCAGCCGAAAAGTCGTGGGCTGACTTTCCTTTTGTAGAACGTGAAATCATCACTTAAAAAGTAATGTTAAACCTCATCACTTTAGATGTTACCAATCCAGAATTTTGTAGTAGTCAAAGTTTCCCTTTATTTTTGTAGGAAAAAGTAGTCAATGGTTTAAAATTTCACGTGAAATAAACTGATGCAATGTAGATATTGACATACCTTCTAATTGGAATTCATCAACACTCGTGACCCCTTAGAACCTGAGGACAGTGTGCTTAAGACTTTCGCACAGCTGGGCCTGGGAAACATTCCCATTTGATGGGGTATTGTTGCTATATGTTAGATTATTTTTAGAATTAACACCAATAGTATAAAAATTGTCTGATTGCTACATTCTTTAACCACATGTTTTTACAAATATTTTCCATTTCTTCCCTCTTACGTCAGATTATATCAACTTGTAAATGAAACATAGGGCAGAATAGAGTCCAGATTTCTGTAACTGATTGTGTTTTATCTGCATGGGATATTTTTGGTTTTGAAAATACAGCATGAATTCTTTAGGTTGTTTGCTACCTTAATTGTACAATAATTTGATAGAATCCTTTCTGTTTTCAGTATTGCACTTAGCTAGGTTTCTATGTTTAGGTTTTGTGTTATGTTCCTAGTTATTGTTATTGTTGTATCTGGCAAACATTTTAAAACTCTTAAACTAGTATTTAGTAAGATTTTATTAATGAAGCCTCAGTTTACATGCATATCTTTAGATTCGTCCTTATTT